GATCCCTCCCACCCCTGCCCCAGGGTGCGGCGCCTCGGTGCGTGCGTGCAGCCTGGCCCCCGTCTGGTGCGCTCCGCCGGGGGTTGCGCGCTGGCTCCGGCGTTTTGCGCGGCCTGGGCATTGGCCTGCACGCGCGCCGGGCAGGTCGGGCAGTTCTCGAGAAATCGCTGGAGTAGTTGCAGCAACTGTACAAACATTCCAGGGAACGGGCTGAGGTGTGACAATCCGTGGCTTGTGTCGATGGCCTAATTAAAACCCAATAACAGGCTCGGCATTGCCATTGTCATTTCTGGACTAAATGGGGGGGCGAGGCACTCTTGGAAGAGAGGATGCTAACAGCTCTTCCCCTCCCCTTTCTCGATCCACTCTCTCTCCACTCTCTCACCGCCCCCATCCCTATTTGCTCAGGTGCAGCCCCCGCCTGCCCCCTCCCCCCGTGCCAATTCACACACCAACTCTCCCCAAGTCCCGGCCCTCACAAGCACTATTTGCACAGCAAGGCCTCTCTCCCAAGGCACTCAAGAAGTGTATTTGAATTTTAAATGGCGGAGCCCGCTCAGAGCGCTGGAAGCAGCCGGGTTCTCAAAGCCTCCTTGACTACCCCGCTTGCTCGGTCCCTCTGTCGCTTTCTCTGGCTCACTGTCCCGAAGACAATGATTGAAGCCTGGGCGGAGGGGAGGGGCCCGGGGGAATGGGATGGGGAAAGTCGAAGTCTTCTTTGCATTCCAATCTCTGGGATCATACTTTTTGCAAATAGAGATTGCAAGAAAGAAATCTTCCTGCCGGAATTACAGAGGCGTTTTAATCTTCTCATCAGCTTCTCCGTCATGAAGCGCGGGGCGGGCCGTTCGAGTCCTGCTTTGGGTACCCCCCACCCCCACCCCCACCCCGGAATGCGACCCAGGGCGCCAGAGAGTCCGCGTCATTCAGTCACACGACCCTGCTTGACACACGCTACATCGTGCCCCCAGCCCGGTGTGCGCGGAATTCTAATGAGCGGCTCTCTGAGCTCTCAGAATTCTTTGCTCTCCGGGAGAGAGCCTCGGAGCTGGATTACCGCTGCTCATTTGGGAGGAGGTCACAGGACACCCCCGCCAGGGGGACCCGGAGGACACAGGTGGCCCGGAGGAGGCCTTGTGCGGTAGGGCGGGCACCTGCCTCGGGGAAACCGAGGCTCCCATGCTTCGCTGGGCGGGAGGAAGGCGCGCCCCTGGCCCCTGCCGCCCTCAGTTCCCACCCACGGAGGCAGGTGGAGAGAAAAATCCTGCAGAATATTCCCGCCGCCAAGGGCAGGGCGTCGGACTGCCTTGCGGGCCCCTCCTTCCCCATCACCCCTCCCGCACGCTGCCTCTGTGGTCACAAGCAGCCATTAGTTATTTCCTTTACCCTCAAAGTTTGTCTCCACAGTTTAAAAGTCGTTCTCTCACGAAGGCACGCCATTGCAAGGCGATTTAGCAAACATACGGGCAAAACTGGGGAGGGGAGAGGGAAGTAAGGGGAGAGAGAGTGCCTCCAGAATTCACTGTTAATGTTCTGCGAAATTCGTCAACTTAGGCAGAGAGGTGGAGCCAGAGACTCCAAATTGGAGTATTTGCGCGTGTGTAATGCCTTTCGTGCCTAGCTGTTGCTCGCCAGCGACAGCATGTGGCGTTGCAAGCCCAGGGAAATGAACGTGACACTAGGAACTGGAACTGGGGTCGTCCAGCTGCTGGCTGGGAGCTAACTGAAGGCGGCTTTTATGGCCCAAGCCCCACCGCGCACTGCGTCCCAGCTGGGCTCTTAATAGCAACGGATGCTTCTGGGCTTACAGCCCTCCAGATGTTGGAAGTGGTAACTTCAGGGTTTATTACCTCCCACCAGGGCTCTCCCAAAGGGCCTAGCAAGTGAGTTAAGTTAGTTTAGAATCCACACGCCCCCCACAGGGAGAAGAAAGGAGATAGAGTTCCTTTCTCTTACTGGAACTGAAATTTGAATGCTTGGGGATATCAGGGCCAGACTTTGGGGAGCAAGCAAAGCTGCGTTTTCTCCCAGTAAACTCCCAGTTCCTTCACCTCCAAGTCACTTTTTCTTTCCAGTCGCCCCTACCACTTACAGTGGGGGGCTCTGGAAACAGGAGGAGATGGGGCTCAGGAAGCCATCCCACTGTACCTGGGCTCCCTGGAATTCCCAAAGATGGGGGGGTGGAGTTCTTGACTTGGGGTGCTTCAAAGGGTATGATCCCACAACACACACTGTAAACATCACCTCAATTCTCCTTTGTCTGTGTCCCTCAAGCCCCCCTTCCCCTACCGCACACATACAAATCCGGCCATTTCCCCCTTTCCCTGACAGCCATCTCAGCTGTCTAGGTTAGGGGCTGCCAGCTGAAGGTCTCAGAGGCTGATCAGAGGATGAGGGGGAGTGGGGTCATTATGAGGGGTGGGGGTGTGTGCACCCTTCCTACCTGCTTTCACCGAACAGTGGATGTGCGCTTTGGACTCGTAGTAGACCCAGTCGAAGCCAGCCTCCACAGCCAGGCGGGCCAGCATGCCGTATTTGCTACGGTCTCGGTCCGACGTGGTGATGTCCACTGCGCGGCCCTCATAGTGCAGAGACTCTTCTGAGTGGTGGCCATCCTCATCCCAGCCCTCGGTCACTCGAAGCTTCACCCCTGGCCACTGGTTCATGACTGAGATGGCTAAAGCATTCAACTTGTCCTTACACCTCTGTGGAGAGAGAAAAAAGACCCAGGCATGGATGAAGACCTAGGCATGGATCCGCCTGCGCCTGTACCTTGGGTCCTCCCCTGCGCTGTCTCTAGCTGCCCAGTAACCTCCGACCCCACCCACAACAAGCTTCCCAGTTGGCTAGGCCAGGCGAGGTGTGCAGAGAAGTGGGTCAGAGGTCCTGGGATTGGGGCCCAGCCTGCTCAGGACGAGGGTCTTGGGCAGGATGTGGTAGGCATCAGGCAGAACAGGTCTTCTTGGGAATGAGCTGTTTTCCAAATTCTGAAATGACTTCTATTCATCTGGTGGCCTGAGAAGTAGGTGAAGTTTCTTGGGGAGCAACAAAAGAAAACTACCTCTTTTGATCCCCAAAGTCCACCCCAGGCAAGGCAAGCTCCCCAAGCCCCCAAAGTGTCCTCCACTCTGCCAGTTCCTCTTCGATGGACACATGTCTCCACACCTGTGCAAGCCCTACCTAGCTCCTGGGCGGAATCTCTTGCAAGGGCCCTTAGTCAGAAGTTCATGAGGAGGCCAGGGAGAGGCCCAGGGTGCCAGTTTGCAGGAATAAAGGGAAATGCACTGTACACTTGGTAAAGAATGAAAAGCTTGGCGTTATCTCGCTCCTAACTCCATGCGTATCTGAGGTGAAAATTAAGCAAAGGTGGGAGAAGGGGCTGGGAAACTGATAGCAAAGCGTGAGTGGTGGGAGAAAAACGACCAGGTGAGATATGGTTTTCAGAATGGGCCGGGATGACAAACATTCTTTATCTGGACGACCATGTTCTTTTGTAGAACTCTTTGCTGCCTCGGTTTTCTGTAGTCTGATTGTGTTTCTTGTTTTCTTTCACCTGTTCCCTTCCTCCCTTCTTGTTTTTTTGGCTCCACTGTAGAATGGTATCCTGCAAGTTTGAAGAGCAAACTTTACAGGTGAAGGGAGGGGTGTACATGTGAGTGGATGGATCAAGCCAGAGACTCTGGGTGGGGGCTGGGGCGCAGGAGAGCCTACCCCCCCAGGAAGCTACAGGAAGGCCTGAAGGCCTCACCAATCCTTTGCCAGGGAGAGTTTTCCTTAAAACAGTTCCTCTGGCTCCCTGCCGCCACCCCAGCCCCCAAAACACACACACACACACACACACACACACACACACACACACACACACACGGGTTAAGAAAGGGGGATCGAATAGGAGTAATGAAACATTGAACTTGGGGTTGTGGTATTTCCCCCCAGAATCATCTGGTTTATGGATCAGAACCAAACACAGATGTAAGTATAGTTGAATCGTGTGTGTGTGTGTGTGTGTGTGTGTGTGTGTGTGTGTGTGTGTGTGTGATGACTTATGCAAAGAATGGGATCAACCACCCTAAGGTAGAACAGGAAGCTTTTCCCTTCTCTAAGACATTTCTTTCCAAGATGGTTTTCCAGAGGGAAAATCAGTCACTATTTAAGGACCCCATTAATTGCAGCCTGTAGAAACACTTTTTTTTGGCTTAGGGGAGAAGAATCTTACTAGAAGGACTGCTGCCCACCTTTCCAGGAGACATGGCCAGAGTGTTCAACAGGAAACGCTCTGTTGTAATAATAAAAGAGAAAACCAAACAGTACTGTGGTTGTCGGAGTTAAACATAGAACAAATGGGCAGTCAGAGAGTTGGGGGTGGACCTGGTTAAAGGTCAATGCTTGTAGGGTTGCTCCTTTCTTTTTTTAAAAGAAGAGTTGGGAGAGGAGTATGCGAATGAGATCATCTTGAAAATTGAATGCATTTTACAAGAAAATCAATCAGTAAACCAGGGTCAGTTTAGAGGCGGGTTATGAAGCCGGGGTGCGTGCAGGCGTACACTCAGGGACACGCATACGAACACCCCTCAGTTCTGAATCTCTCCCCACTGCTCTCTTTGGGGGTGTGGGTGTGTGTGTGTCAGGATGGGGGCCTCCTTCTAGATCCCTGGAAATGCATCACTTGGGAAAGACCTGGAGGAACCCACAGGTGGGCCAGGTTTCGGGAGTGGATTGGCTGGGGTGCGCCGAGGCCCAGGGACCGGCCCGGGTGAGACCGGCCCGGGTGAGCCCTGTCCTCCTGACAGAACGCAGGCTGGTCCCAGGGTGTACGCGGCCTCGTCCAGAGGCGGCAGGACGCTCGTGACTCCGGCCCGCTGGCTGGTCAGAGGCACAGACCCTGCCGCTTAGTCCAGTTGTTCATTCACTGGGTCATGTGCCGCAAAGCAAACCAAACCAGCGCGATTCTGTGCAGCCACCGTGAAGCCCCGCGGGGCCGCCTGGGCGCGGGCTTTGTGTCCGCCCAGGCAAAGTTGTTCCACACGCTTCAGCTCCTCGCCACCTTCCTTAACCTGCACCCAAAGGAGCGCGCCCAGGCGGCGCTCGGCACGACCTGTCGCTGCGAACAGGCCGGCGGGCTTCCATGGGCGCCCGAGCCTGCGAGAGGCCCCGGCTTCCAAATGACCCCCAGCTGGCAACGGCGCCCTTCCATGCCCCTTCTACAAAGGCAGAAAACCGCCCCACGCTCCCGCAAGGGCTGACTGGCTTTGCCCGGCGGCTGCCCAGCAGGCAGGAACTGTCGGTAACGTGTCTTTTCAGGCCAAGGCCCTGACTTCAGCATCCAGACCTGCCCCTGGCCGACCTCCACCCCGCGTGGCGCCCCCTCATCCCCTGCGCCCTGGGAGCGGGCACCCGGGGCCAGCACGGGGAGAGTGGTCTGTCTGCGTTCTCCTCGCCAGGGTTAATATTAACCAGGAGCTCATGCGTCCCAGAACTGCTCTGAAAGTTCCACTGGGGAAGATCTCGCCATGGTTGAAGGACTCGGGCAGTAGTCACTTGGAAAGACCCAGAGACCTGGGGAAAGAGGAGACGGGGGCAGGGGGTGGGGGGAGACTCAGGATGCACCCCTAGGCATTTCTGTAAAAATGGGGAACCCAGCGGCTGAGCAAGTTCCCCAGGAGCTCCCGACCTTCCCGCAGCCTGGGAGGCACCTCTGGCCTTGGAAACACACAAGTTTCCGGCCCCTGCTAAACTCGGGTCACCTGCCCCTCTCCATTCCTGTCCCCACCCCCACCTCCCCCCCTTTGACTCCTAGAACCTGCAGAAGAGGGAAATGCCCGGGGAGGGACCAGCCAGAGGGCACATTCCAGCTCCTGCCTGTCTGTCCAGCCATCCACGTTGTTAGGGTACCTTAGGGGGGAGTCAGTGTTGTAATGCCCCCCACCCCCACCCCATCCTTACTTTTGCCGCCCCTCCCCCCTCCTTTTGTGTTGGGAACGGGAATTGCCAGGGCTGAAGGGAAAAAAAAACCCAGTATTTGTTTTCGTTTCGTTCGTCTGAGGGAAGTTGACAGAAGGTCAGAAGTTCAAATGCTGCCAGCGAATGCGGCGGCGGCGGCGCGAGTGGCGAGGCGTGGGGCGGGCGCGGCCCCGAGTTCCCGGGCAGGGCGGTCGCTAGCACTGGGGGTGGTGGTGAGAGGAGCGCGGAGCCGGAGCCAGCGGGATGGGGGGCTAGCTGCCGTGCCCTGGGCGCTCGCCGACCTCGGAGGCCCGAAGGGCGGCGGCTGGCGGAGCCTCGCGGCGCAGAGGTGCGTGCGCCCGGCGCCCGGCCGCGGCGCGCCAGCACCACACCCCTGCCTCCTCCCCGCGCGCGCCCCTCCCCCGCCGCCGCCGGGTTAATGAGGGTGATTAGCGCCCCATTAGGATGAGCCCCCACGCTGGCGGGTCGGGAGCGAATTCCTGCGTGCGTGCTGGCCCGGCCGGCCCGGCGGGCGGCGGCGGCCGGGGCGCGAGCCCAGCTCGGCCGCCCAAACTGAAACCCTAGCCGCCGCGATCGATAACCGGGGAGTGAGTGGAGCTGGCGATGCGTCTGACTTGGGGCTCGCCTCCGCGGGCCTACCGCTTCCCAGAAGGGCGCCGAAGACCCCGAGCTCTCGGTAGGGAGCTCGGGGCTCGGCAGGGGTCCTTTGCACCCGCCAGGGCAGGCGCTGACCCTGGACCCTGCGGTGTCCCCCGCACCACCCGCCCTCCCTCAGCCCAGCCGCCTCGCCCGGCCACCCTCTCCCGGAGAGCAGACAGACCGCGAGCAGCAGCTTCCCCGATGGGTGCCGAGGAACCCAGGGGCGGCGCGGCTGGGGAGCCCTAGAACTTCCTCGGGCCCGTCGCACGCCCCCTGGTCCCGGGGGCCACGCGGAGTTAACCGGGGCTTTTCGGTGGCTCCAGCGCGCGGTCACACTCGGGCCCGATTTAAGGTGGTCGGGAGCAGATGCGAGAGATCGCGGGAGGAAAACCTTTTCCTCTGCCCCCACTCCTCCCCTGGCGGTCAGCTGAAGCCGGCTGCCCGACTGTGTCTTCTCTCTCCTGGGCTTCTCCCAGTCAGCCCAGGAACAGACCAGTCCAAGGTAGTTCTTCTCTGCGCACCCCCCTCCCCCAGCCTCCGCGCGTCCCCTTCCCCCGCTCGGTCGCACTTGTGCCTCACCAGCCAAGCTCCATCAGCCTGTGCGCTTCTAGCCCTAAAGGTAGGACTTGAATATTTTAATAGGGCAATAAAAATGATGTTGACCTATATTTGCAAGGGAACTGGCTTCAGTTCTATATGCACGGAGTTTCAGAAAGTCTAGAATTAGCAGCTAGATTTTTAGCCCAGATGTCTCCAAGGAGGTGGGCTAAGGGAAAGGGATTACAGCTTGGCGTAGATTCTCCTCTCCATCTACTATGTATCCCTGTGTAATTTCTGGGCAAGCCGATTGAAAACTGGAGTGATGCAATGCCAATAACTTCTAAGTCCCTCCCCTAAGGTACCTAGGGCTTGGGAGACTGAAAGAGCATCCTTAAAGAAATATCAATATATTCACACTCCGATGGGCACAATTGCACTCCATGGAATCGCAGTGCAAGCTATATGATACAGTCCTGGGCGACCAGAGGCGCCTGCAAAGCCTTTTGTCAGAAGCGTCTCCTTGATTTTTCTTAGGGCAGGATCTTCGGTGGGGGGTCTGTGGGGTGGGGGTAGTCACGGGAAGCTAAACCACCGAGAAGCAGGAGCGTGTCTGAGCTGAGCTGAGCGATCTCACGCTTCCTGCCTATATTTGTAGCAGTGACCTGGAGACCACTTTTTCTTTACGGGATGGGGGTTCCCACCCCCTTCCTGGTTCCCACTCTGGACTCTCCAGCAAAACTGCAGACTTAGAAAAGGTAGACGCCCCCAAAGTACAGGTTTCTCCAAGTTCCAAGCCCCAGCACAGTCAGGAAGAAGAAGGCCATCCCAGTGAGACTGAGATGCAATCCGGGCCATAAATGCACCCCCATCCTCAGCAGCCCTCGCCTGCCTGGCCAGACCCTAAACTTCGGGACCTATAGCCTCCATTCCTCCCCGCAAAGAAAGGAAGGGGTGGCAGGTGGGTAGGAGTGTGGGGAAGGAGACAGTAAAATCGCCTCTAAATCTGCTGCAAAAGCCGAGACTTAAGTCTAGGATAGCGGCCCCCCCCCCCAACCGCTCCGAAGCCCCCTTTCAAGAAACACATTCCACGCCCCAGCGCCGGGTTTCTACCTGAGTCATCAGCCGATCCGCTCCCGTGTTTTCTTCATCCTTAAATATGATGTCAGGGTTGTAATTGGGGGTGAGTTCTTTAAATCGCTCGGAGTTTCTCGAGATCTTCCCTTCGTATCTTCCACTGGCCCCTAGGGTCTTTTCGGCCACATTGGGGATAAACTGTTTGTAGGCTAAAGGGGTCAGCTTTTTGGGGTGTCTCCTCTTCCCAAATCCCCGGCCGGGTCCGCACGCTAGCCCGGAGCCCAGCAGGAGCCAGGAGACGAAGACTACCACCAGACATCTCGCCAGCAGCAGCATCTCGTCCATGGAGCCCAATTACTTCCAAGCTCTTCGGTGTGTGTCTGTGTGTGTGTGTGAGCGTGTGTGGGGTGTGTGTATGTGCGCGCGCGCGCGCGCGCGGGTGCGTGTTCGCTCTCTCTTGCGCTCTCCCTTTCTCGCTCAGGCTCGCGTGCTCCCTGGCTCTCTCCCTCTTTCTCTTCCTATATAACCTTGCCCGCCGCCGCTGCTTGGGGCTCTCCACCGATCCGCAGCCAGGCAGGTGCTGAAATGGCAGGCTGCCGGTCCCTGATAACGGAACACATCGGAGTTGGGTCTCGAGACAGGAATCAAAAGACAAAAAGAGTCTGATTTTAAATGGTAGCAAGCCTAGAGACGCTTGTGAGAGAGGCTGCCTTTAGTACTATATTATAGCTGGCAGGGGCGTATCTGATTGGCCAAGGCAACACAAGCTTGTCTTCTGATGTTTAACCCTCAAAAAGGCTACATTTTCCACCCCCCTTTCTGTTGCTGCTGCAGCTTTATTTTTACCTGAAGGCTTTGAGTTAAAAAAAATAAAAAGGCGCAACTAAAACAAAGGTGGGGGCGGGGAGGGCGGAGGCATATTTCTGGGGTTAACATCAATTACACGCTGCTTTGTGTGTATGTGTACTGTCTTCGTCTACTTTCTTGGGGATGGTAGGGGCTTCAGTTAAAACCAACCTAAGTTTTTAAAGGACAGTAGAAGGCACCCCTCCCGTCAAAGCTTTGATCATCAAACAAATATCCCCTCAAACATTTGCCAGCTCTTATTTAAAATTGTAAGAGCTTTGAGCACTCAGGCCAGTTCTTCCTGCCTGCTAAAGAAAGGGGAGCCTGAGCCACCTCTGCCTGCATGTGCAGCATCCTTAGCAGGAGGGTCATTATGAGTGACCACAACTTAGTGTCCTGTGAGTGGGAGGGCTTCAAACGCTGTAGGGAAAACTTTCAAACACGGGCCACTTTCTTGGGTTCATACCAATGCCTTGTTCTGGGAACCACTGAAGATGGGCTGGAGGTCTTTTCAGGGGGCAGCTATGGAGTGGGCCAAGGTCCAGGGGCAAGTGGGCCTTGGGTGCTGGACATCTTCAGCTCTGGAAGGGCATGTGTGTGCTGTGGGTGGAGGCCCACTGTGCCTGGAAGGCAGTGGTGAGTGGGCAAGGCTTTGCAAACACTACCCCCACAGATCGATGGGAGCAAAGTGCAGGGCCAAGGGACGAGTGTAATGTGAAATTAAGGCTCCTTGTCACAGAGGCCAGCACTGGCTCTCCCTGGATCTGGCCACTTCATGGGGTATAGGGAACTCATGTTCTGGTCAAATAGGGGTGTCCTCGTGTCCACAGATCAGCAAGATGAGCTGCCAATCCTTACACTTCAAGCTCATTAAAACCAGAACAATAAAATCAGACCCCGCTTTTTTTTAAAAAACTCAACTAACCCTCTGCTCCATCTTTCCCCATTCCACTCACACACAGCAATTCCTCTAGAGTGGGGCAAGGGAACGGGGTTATTTATGTGGACTAGAAATACTGACCCTGAGAAATGAGCAGATACTGTGAATGTTGGCCTCTGAAGTTCAGTGTTCTGCCTTGACCCCCAAGCATTGCAGCTGGGTGAGGAGAACAAGTCTGAAGGTGCAGCCAGCCAAACAATGGGCAGTTGTCAGCAAAGCATCAATGTTCCTTCGACCAAACAACTTTTGTGTTTGGAGGGGGCATCTGGAGAGACATCTAGCTTCAGTCTAGAGACATGAGCGTTATCTACTTCACCCACCCAATTCGTGCTCCTCTCCAAAAGTTAACATATTCCTCCACTCCACCTCTGTCTGTCTGTCTGTCTGTCTGTTTGTGTGTGTCTCTCTCTCCTGTCCTGTGAGTTTTTAAGAATCAAAATACCTAGCTGACCTCTGGTCCAGGTGGGAGGGCAGGATTCCGTTTTAGCACGAAAGACTCAGGTAGGAGCCATGAGTTCTCCAATTAGCTGGAGACAATACAACTGTTGATAAACCCGGGGCTCAGTTTATTGTCCAGGGTATGTGTTGTATGTGTGTGTGCTCCCAGAAAAACTTAAAAAAAAAAGTAACGTTCTATACCAGAGAGGATCGGCTTGTTTGATGTGGTTACCTCGGGTAGCAAGTGTTGATGTATTATCACTAAATAGTGTCGGGGCTTAAGAAACGATCCGGACCGAGTGGGATACTTGCAAACCTTTTGATCACCCTCCCCCGCCTTGGCGTATCTACTGCAGCCCCGGTGCCTGTCCTTTCCTAGTTCTCTTCCAGTCCTGGCGTCTCCCCTGAAGGACGTCAGGACCAGCACCAGGCAGGAGCGCCGTGGTGGCGAAGCTGCGGGCTGAGGCCGAGACTGGGGCTGCGGGCAGCGCGTGCACCCAGCGGCCAACAGGGCTCTGACGGCGCAGACCCGCTGGGGAGGCGCGCGCCCGGTGCAGGCAATAAACGCACGTGGAAAAATCCTGGCACTCGCCACGCGCGGGGTGTGGGACTTGGGTTTGGGGCGCAACCGACCGGGCTGAAAAGGGTCCGCGCTGCGTGGGTGCTGCGGATGCAGTGCGACCTGGGGGCTCTGCCCGGCGCCCCCTGATCAGGAAAGAGCCGTGCGTGACTCTGGAGGCGCGGTCTCTGCGCGGAGACCAGGAAGGGGACGCGCCCGGGCACTGAGCTCGCTCGGACTCCGGGGGCGGCACGAAGCCACCTCCTTCCTCACCACCTCCAGCCAGCCCTGGGCACCCCAGAGAGACTGCCAGCGGGTGCCTCCGCTGAGGCTCCGCAGAACCCTTCCGATTCAAAATACGATGCGCAAATCACCGTGCGATCCTGCACTAACGCGTTCTTCCCGAGGGCTAGCTCCCTGTCGTGGAGTGGGGGGCGCGTGGGGGTGGGGAGGAACCGGGGGTGCAAAAATCAGCCGCCGTTTGGCGGTATTGTCTTAGGAACCCAGGTCGCCGAGCGTGAGCAGGGCGCCCAGCGCGATACCCGGAGCAGCGGCGGTCTCTGCGCCTCCCTCCCCCTCCCGCTTCCCCCTTTCCTTTCATCTCACCCACTTCCCATTTCGCAGACACCAGACACTCACTCCGTCTTCCACCTCCAGACACCAGATGGCTCCCTCTCTTTGCCTTTCCCCCTCCAGACAGTTGGGCCCCTCCCTCTGTCCGTCCGCGCTTGCAAACCCCAGCCTGCCGCGGCCAGGCATCTTGGGTCGCCTGTAGGTTCTCGCTCTGACTTATTCGAGGCACCCCCCCCCCACCTCCTCTTTCGGTTGGTCATTCTTATCCATCCAGCAAGCTCTCTGTGCCTCCACTGCCCCCACTCCACGCCACCCGCCAGCCCCGTGAGTCCCGGTGGCTGCGTCTGTCTTCTGCCCCCGGGCCCCCAGGAGGCGCCCTTCCTCGAAGCCGCACGGTTCCCTTCCTTCCGACCCGGCCACTAGATGGCGTCCTCACTCTGCCTTCCGTTTCTGGAGCGCCGCGCTCTGGCCCAGGGCACTGGGTCGAAAGGTCCCAGGGAGCGGGGGCTGTAGCCGGTTTCTTCATCCGCCCTTGAACGTGGTCGTCGGCCTTGTGCAGGTCCGCTTCCCCACCAAGTCCCCGTCCTTCACTAGGTATGCCTCCTCCATCATAGTTCTCCTGGGCTCCAGCGCGCAGGCGGTTCGAATTACGTTTCCGGCCTCCATTTTCCTTCCCCTCTGGTTTATTTTCCCCGTGATGGTTGTCCTCCATCTCTTTCCACCCAGTTTCAATTTTGCTCTCATTTTGTCAAGCTGAACGTCTACTGGTATCTCCTTGTAATCACCAGGCTTCGTTTCTTAGTTCTCCATATTTCGGAGCGATGCAGCTCTTGGGCATTGTTCGCCTGATGCCGCAGCCTGGCTCCTAAGGGGGACTGCCTGTCCCTGGGTTAAGGATTTGAGGCCCCGGTTCTGGACACCGGCAGGGTCCCTGCAGCCCAAAGGCAGTGGCTATCAGCCTAGAAGTAGGCAAGGGCCTGGAGCTGCTCCCCTCACTCGCCTGCCACCCTTGAGTCCTTGGCAGTGGGTGCTTGTGTGTCTCCCACTCATGGCAGCAGAGATCAGGCTTGTGCATGAGCAGCTGGGAAAGCTGCAGTCAAGACAGGCACCAGCTCTGCTGCTGGCCAGGTGAGGGGCTGGCTTCAGTTTCATGTGGGGAACTTAGGGCTGCCTGTCGACTGTTGCTAGCAGCAAGTGTGGGTAAAGGCCTAAGCCACCCGGGGGTGAGACCTTCCTCTTCCTGGGCCTTGTTGGGATGTTTTCTCTAAAGGAAGGAGACAGTGCAGATAGATGATAGCCCGAAGTCCCCATGATTGTAATCTTGACTCTTGCCAGTTTTATTCATAGGGGCTGGAGACCCTGAGGGGGGCTGTGCAGTTTCAGGCCGCTGTGGATGGCGGCGGTGGTAGGACTTCTAGTCTAGTGTCTTCCACATCGATTGGGAACTTCCACCCCCATGATCTCATTTGTTCCACAAATGTTACACCAGCAGAGCAAGTATTGCTGTCGCTTGGGGGCCATCAGGGTGATTCTGACTCATTGTGACTCCATGTGACCGAACAGAACTGTCCCATGGGTTTTCCTGACTACAGTCTTTATTGTACCCAGATGTGGTCTTTCTCCTTTGGGGTCACTGACTGAGTTGGAATCGCCAACCTTTTGCTCCACTCTGGGCACCACGAGGCCATCGAGTCATTTCCAGTGAGTATAGAGGGTTTCTGAGACTGTAACTCTTTCCAGGGACAGACAGCCTCCCCTTGACCCTCAGGTGTGGCTGAAGGGCTTGAACCGCCGCTTTGTGGTTAGCAGCCCAATGATACCGTGGTTTTACAAATGAGGATAAGCTGTATTTTTTCCTAGTCATGCTAAGGTGAGAAATAAGTTTAATGTAGACATTCAGCCTGCACTCTTAAAAAATTTGGGCCACTTTTCTCTTTTCAAATTATCACTCTATTTCCTGGCTCACATAGTGTACATTTCAAGTAATGGGTCTTTTTTCTTATTCCTAGAAAATGCCTTAAGTTTAGCGCCTTACGGTTTTAAAGTGCTTTTGTTTCCAGTCTGACAGAGAACCCTCACAGCTTACATTCATGAGCTGGAAGGGAGAGACCCCAGTGTGGTCTGCTACTAGTGTGTAGAGTGGGAATTCACATAAGTGAATGGCGACAGTGGTGGTGCCGCGGTTGGACCCTTTTTGCTTTCCCTGCCAGACACCTGGGTTCGATTCCTGCTCAATGCACCTCATGTGTAGCTTACC